CATACTCGCCTTCATCTCAGTGTAAACTTGATCCTCGTGTAATATAGCCTACATTATACGTTCATCATTTAATATACTACTAATATGTATTATTATTGTCAATATTTGTGCGTAAATGATTTAACATTTAAATGCTCACTCTAATCCATTTAACTAAAACTCGACAACATTTTTCGAAGTCGCCGCCTATGTGACGAAAAGTGCTCGCGACGTTTGTTACTGAGTTATTCCTGGAGAGCAGGAAAGTAAGTCCAGGTATGTTCGTAACCGTCTGCCTTGGAAGCAGCTTCCAGTGTGCGGTACTCGAAAAATACTGAATTATTTACTTATAGGTAAATTAAATTTGTCTTGTACGTAGTCAGAATAGGTGAGTACGGTAGGCGAAAATGAAAACGTGGAGGAATTCTCCTGCGCCTGCTGTTCCACGATGATCGCCTACAAGAAGCCCATAAAACACCTTCGCACATGTGACTGGCGCTACTGCTCGGTTTAGTGCTATAATTCACCATCCGTCTTTCTTTACCATACCTGAATTAAGCACGGAAAGAGCGAGAACAGACGTAGCACCACAACCTTGTTTTATTTAATTTCCTTCTCTTTCTAGCCGCTAAAACTCGAAGAATGTTAGAAAAAGAAAAGCGAGCTCTAACTTGAAAGTTCGCTGCTAGCATATACAAAAGGCGCTTTGATCTTGTGGATTAAAATAAGAAGAGGAACGCTTTATACGCTACCCTGGTAGAATATCATATGACCATCATCCGTTTAATATATTAGCATTGAGATGTTATCTAATTAAATGATTGCGCATTAACTGGAAGAATAATTCGTGTCGCGAGAAAATTTATATTCGAGCAGATTCAAAGGGATTTTGGAATGAAATAAATTATGTGTAAGCAGGCATTAATTGCGAATGTTGGTTTTGACGCCTCCGGTAGAATGTGTGCGGTTACTTCGGAGAGCTTCGAATGAATCATTTTAACTATTCTTTCTGTCATAATTGCGTTTCCGTTTTAGCGAATTACTCTTTTACATCTAGCTAAACCGGTCTTGTATCAGATGTCATCTTATGAGTCGATCTTGTCTCATACATCATGTACGGGATAGGTCCTGAAGAATGAGCGCACGGTGGGCGCTCAGTACATTCCAGACATTCTCCATCGGGTGCTGTCACTCCCCACGAACAGATAATTGGCCCACCCCAGGAGTTCATCTCCGAACTGACGTCCTGTTTGCTTTACTGATTTCCTCTCCCTTTTATTGATGTCCATGATTCTTGACTAATTATGAACGCCCGATCTGAAGACGTTCGCATTCGTTTTTGCCAATTGCTTCAGCACAAAGGAATTAACAAACGGTGAACTGGTTGTTATTAAGATGCGATTAAGTTAGTCGTTGATTGGAAGACTCCTTGTCTGGTGAGACGCTTGCATTTTTGTCAATAACTCAAGGTGACTTTGGTGAATTTTACTGTTATAAACTTAAACAGACTAGGTTAAATGACACTGTATAACTGTCAAAACATATAATTACTAATGACGGAGTTGGTGGAAGCTAGAGAGGTCCTGCAACCATTTTATTTATTATGTACCGTATATTATTTGACAGCAAAATTTTACAAACACCTGTTCGGTTTATTCTGACTTAGCTTAAAATACGGATATTTTTTCGATATTATTTCGTTTATTGGAAAAGTGCTAGTCGCCCTCTGCAACTGCATTTCAGGTATTTATAAATCTGAATACTACACTAAAAATTTAATGTTTTTTAAAGTCCACTTAATAGGATATTTTTCTACTGTAATATGGCAGTCTGCTGCGAGAAATCTTTTGTCTAAATTATTTTAGGTACAAATCATAATCAACAATTTATAAGTAGGTACAGTAGTGATAGTAATAGATTCTAGCTTTTTTGTATTAAGAGTAATTATACTGAAATATATGTAGAATATAGGTCGATAATATTTTTACCAAAAGAATTCCCCGGAATTATCGAAATAATGATTGACTGTATCTTTGATTAAAATGATAAAAGATGGGAAATAAGTGATACTAGAAAATAATAGGTCAAGCTTTAGCTCAACTCAACGAACCACTAACAGATAATAATCGGTAATTTCCACTTACAAATTAAACATTTTATTATTTTCTAAACTACTTCGCAGGGTTAATGTCGATGTTAAGCTGGCGTACGATCTTAGTGTAGTTCAGCTTGGTCGAGAACTTAATTGATTCGACTAAGTTCAAAAGTTATATAAGTATGTAGATACAAATTGATATAAATCTTAGTGAAAGCCAAAATTACAGAAGATAAAAATGTGTGTAACACTTGTCACAAGTTGTTATTTTACAACTGAAAAGTGTGGGATATTTAATAATCATCAATGAGGGCCAGTTAATAGCTAAAATTACATCATGAAAAAGAGGAATGAATTATATGTATAATAAAAAATTACTCAAACAAAATGGTCATTAAAAAACTAAATATATCTTTAGATAAATAACAAACACACTTAGCGGAATTGTAAGAGTAACATTTTATTTACAAAAAATAAAAATAGTTTTACTTAACTTTGGTTCGAAAATTTGTCAGTTTGAAGAGTTGTCACTGCGAGTTAACTATTTTATATTATTATGTTTAGTTAGAAAAAAATGCACTTTAGATGTCACAATGAAAGAAATCTAAAACAACATCAACTTCGTTCTGAATCTGAACAATACATTTTGTGACATTAGCTGACTAATGCGCATTCTAAATTTAGTATGTACATTAGAAAGTGTTATTTTTTTTAATATCAGTTCCGTCAATTTGTTTGTATAACTTGAAACACTAACTTATTCACGTTGGTTGCTAAAATGCATCTTTAGTCAAAATACACCTTTGTTCGAGAGGGGATTTTCTTTAAAAGACGTAAAGCGACAAAACAGAATAAAGAAAAATATTAGGAGTAATATTGTTGTTAAAGGTTCACTGGTTGTCATGGTATGCGGTCCTAAAAAATTTTCACCTGCCGAGAAAATCAGTGGTAACATTGTGACTTCTATTTTTTGTGGCAATCATTTTCCCAAGATGGAGAAGAAAATAAAATAAAAATTATCAATACACCACACAAGAATATCCAGTACATGATGTGAAATATTCCCATAATCTTTTTTTATTATGTGAATGTAGTTTTTAAACAGTCAATTATATTTGATATTTTTGAGCGAATATACCAGGTGATTTTTAGTTCTTGAGCGTAAGTTAAGAAAGTATAGTAATCGAGTTTAGCGGACGAATGGCCAAGGAGTCTTCCGTTTCCGTCTGTCTGTTTGTCGATTTTTATTAGACATAGGTATAATCTCTAAAACTACAGGACCGATTTTTGTCAATTTTTTAATGTATACTAGGAATATCATGCAGATGGTAAAACGCTAACCAAAATTTAGTTAAGTATCCCCACCAACAATTTGATGACGTCATTTGAAAGAACTCTATTTTAAAATGATTCAAATCTCATACAACAATATACTTGTGTACGAATCCGCTTTGAATTTTTTTTTAGCTTTGCTTATGCAAGTGGCTCAAAAAAAATTAATAAATTTCATTTTCTAATTTATTTCATTGATTAAATTAGGAATAGCCGACTCGTTTTTCCCGAAAATTTGGGATTATAATACTGTTAGTATTACTCTGTGCCAATCCAAGTTGATATACGTGTCCTTCCAAAACTGTTGATCACAAAATTTTGTAAAGTAAAAACTTATTTGAAACATACAGGTAATAACACGCTCCTTTAGAGTTACTTTAACATTACATACATATGTCTATTTCAACTTACAGGGGTTCTCATAATAAAAGTCTAAATAAAATTCGCAAAATCAAATTTTATCATTTTTCCGTACTTGTGCAATTTACACAAACCCTTGCAATTGGCGCTCCCATGACGCGAGAACTGCGGGGGTGTAATTTATGCCACTGATTTTTACTTTATAGATGTTGTCACAAGCGGGACTTGTTGAACTTGTACTTCAGTTTTTTTTTAAATTAATTTAAAATTTTAAACCATACCTAACATAACAATTTTGAAATGACGCTATCAACTTTTTTGAGCGGATGGTCAGACAAACTTTGATAGCTTTTCACTATTTATAATAATCATCAAATAGATACGCTTAATGTTTCATTACGTAATGTCAGAGATTATCGATCATCAATTTACAAACTCTGTGTGTAATTTCGAGAAAACGTGAAATCCTTCGTCAAAATTATTCTATTACAATACTACTTTAGCCTTGCACTTGGAAAGTAAAAGCAAAACGAACACATATGTGTGTACGTGAAATATTTTTTTCGTTTCAACGTATAATTTTATAACAGGTTTTGACTGTTACCTACGGAAAAAAAGTAAAAATACGCACCGTTCTAGGTTCCGTATATTTTCTTTGCTCTTTTGCTATTCAGACAATGACATAAAATTTAATTACGAAAAATTAATTGCTAGCGCCATTTACAGGTTTTTGTTATATTGGATCCGTATCCTTTGTTAAGTCATTCATTATATAAAATTTTGATTAGAAAAAAAAACAAATTTAGATTAAATAAAAGGATCTTTCAAAGAAAGAGAAAATTTTAACGAACGTCTCGAAATATTAATTGAAGGAAAACAACAAGGACCACTATGTTTTTTGTATTATTTTCATAAAACCCACTTGTTAATATTTTCCTGTAAATAGTAAATTTTATTGGGTAATAAAGAATATATTATTATTGTTGTTAAACATCACAAAAAAAAATTATTAGCAAATTTTTACAGGATGTTCCTAAATGAGACCTCGTTAAGCCATCACGAAAAGTTTTTAACTTTACATTTCTCTCATCATTTACCGTTACGCGTCCTAACGTAATACGCTACACAGAATTAGTAGGAACTACTTTCTAAATCTAAAGTGAATTGTATTTAAAATATTTATTCCCTGTCCTTTCGTTCAACCCTTATTAATTATTGCCAATCGTCTTTACAGATAACCAAACTAAAGATTGACAGCAATCCGTTCGCCAAGGGCTTTAGAGATTCCTCCCGTCTCACTGAGTTTGAAAGGTACTTTTAAAAAACCTGAATATGTATGTATTCCTATAGTGCTCATATTTTCAGAGAAACCATGGAATCGATGTTAGCCGAACAACACTACCTTCGCTCTCCGTTGCGTCCGTTTGCCGACTTAGATACTCACAACAACAATTTATCAATCGAAGAAAAGGCGATTTTGGCGGCACGGTCCCAGTTATTTCTAAGGGCTGCAGCTGCAGCGGCTGGTCCTTATGGCCCATTAATGGGAGGACTTTATGGTGCTAGTGCGTCTCAAAGTAGTGCGGTTTCTCCGGGAGTGCTCTGGAATCAGTGGGCATGTTTGGGACCATCTTTGCTCGCTGCTCAACATCAGCATCAACTGGCTGTGGCTGCTGCTGGAAGTTCGCACCTCAATTCGCAAATGTCTCCGTTAGCAAGACCTCTGGCTCAACACAGATATTCTCCATATGCTTCTCTTCCTAAATCGTCGCCTGACACTAGTTTAAGAGACGGCAGAGAGTCGCCCAGTAGCCCAACTTGAGGTGGTTCCTTACACTTTGTGATATATATTTAGCCGATTCTACAAATATGTAAAAATGATTCGTTATGGAAAGAAAAAATGTACTATATTAAAAAAGTATTGATATTTTAAATTTAAGTAAATAGTTAGCGGCATACGTTTACGTTAACGCAATGTAATTTTGCGAATTTTTGTAAATATACGGCTTAAGATTATGAAAACCAAAACTTTTGTAGCGTATAACTTTTCAATGTGTTAACTAATTCCGAAGTTCCAAAACAAGTGTACAATATGTCTGTAAATAATTATAATTTATTATAGTAAGCTAATGTGGCGCTGTTCATTATGTCTTTCAGCAGAGGAAGCGTCGGTTGAGCATCATTTATTAAGTAGTTTCTATACAAGAAGCACTCAAACAAACCCCGTTGAAGGACATGATGACGATGTGTAGATCATTATACTTCCTCGCATAATTAATTGTTTAAAAGCTGCTTCAGAATGTAATTGCATAGTTGTGTATGACACAAACGAGATAGGTTTGATTATAATATTCTAAATCTTTCCAAGAAATAAATGCATTTTAAAAAACTCTCTAACAGTTTTGTTATTTTCAACACTTTAATCTTTAGATCGATACTGTGTTTATTATCCCCGATAATATCGAGAAATATGTAGATACTTTGAAACGTGAAAGTCACTTAATGGTGATACTAATAGTCCGGTTAACTCTCCGTAACCAATTTGACATTTCAGTCAAAGAACACATTCATCTTTCCTTGAATATAATACAAAAATAAATCCTTCATACATGTTGAGATATGAAACGTTCTAAACTACGACGTCATATAAGAAGTATATAAATATTTTGTGTTTGATTAATGACAAGGTTTGTCCATGATATGCGACGATGCAGTGGGGGCAGACAGAATCAACCAGGGGTACGAAACAGACAAGCTAATGTGTGTTGTGATTGATGAAGACCACCAGATGAAGAAATGTCTTCGAGACATATATTGACTACAGATAATTATCGTTTCTTGTTGTGTACCCTCTAACGTTGTTTCACGGGTCTCCCATCACAATGCAACATCCATGCTGGAATAAATTTAACAAACTCTATTGACGTGTTTGTTGCAAGTTCGTGTGAATTATTTGTATAATTTTTTGGTCACCTTTTTAAATTTTGTCTGATATAGCTATAAAAAATAGTTTCTGCAGTAACAAATAAAAATAAATTATTGTGGATGTCTAGAGTCTAACTACACAATCAAGGTAAGCTTTCCAGTTATCGTTATGTGCTGCAGTGATTCTACATATCTAATTTATTCTGCTTAATAAATATTCCATTAATTAAAACAAAAGAAAATTAGAAAAATATAAAACTAAAGTCAAATTATTAATTTCCTTCCTATAAATATTTTTATGAGTTCTGTTCTCTCCTAAACGGACAGAAGTTGTGAAGTAACTGATCAGATGAGGTTGAATATTGGATATACGTATAATGAACAATAAAAAACTCCCTATTTACTACTTGATCGTCTTTTTTGAAGAACGTGTGTCCCAAAGCATCATCAGATATGCGCAGATTCATTGTAATTTGTCAGTTTTATCGTTTGGATTTTGGTGTTTCGTTCAGTTTACTTCACACCACCTAGTTATAACCTTACTTTTTTGGAATGTCCTGTCGATGTACGTTATGATGCAGACATAAGTTTTAGTGATAAAAGACGATCAACAAGAATTTTTGATGGCTTGCAACAATTATTAAAATTTTAAACAATATAAAATTACATGTTTCTCTTAGTATAACACAGAAATACGATGCTGATATGTTATTAAAGGTTGTCTTTTTGTCGTTCTGACAGTATGAATTACAGTATAAAGCGAACTACATAATAACAGTCGAGGAGTTAAGATAGGTAATTACAAATATGTTAATCCATGTAAATTTTAAACTTTTACATGAATTTGCTACAAATTGTTTACAAATCTGTACAATATTTTATAAAATCTTTATCGAACACTACAAATTCAAAAAAATTCAAAATTCATTATCACAACATTCAGCGTCCAATATTTTTTCTCTAATTATTAAAAACACTGTAATTAAAATTTTCTACATGCAAAAATCACAACAGTCTATTAATGCACAATGGTACGAATATCCAAAACACTATTAAAAATGAGGTTATCGACTATTACTGGTTATTTGGGATAAAGAAAATGCGTTATCATAAAAATACTTAATGCTTTCTATTAAATATTCTGTTGTTGCTTGCTTATCTATTTCTTCTGTCCTGAATGATCTCAAGAAATTGCACGTCTTTTCTAATTTAAGTAATTTGAATTTAATTCGCAATAGCTTCAAGTTAAATTATTAAAAAAAAATGTTTTTGCTGAAAATACTAAATTTAATTAAGGTACTCGTATTTATGACTTTTGATCGAGTAATTTGGCATACTCTAAGAATTCATGTGAGTTAAATAAGAAACAAAACTTCATCAGTTAAAGATCGCATAATTATTATGTCATCATCCATGTATAAGACAATAAGATGGTCAGATTCCTTTCACAGTTTTAGTATAATATGACGTTAAAAGTTTACGTGGTTTTGCAAAATAAGTGTACACCTACGTCTAGATTGTGCGCGTACTTAATCATAATCATCAGCTGTAAATTTGTAAATTCGTAAACCTATAATAAAAAATCGCGTTTTTTTTTTAGTTTAATATTTGTTATTATATAATATTTTGAAAATCAAAGAACTTTACTTTTATCACTGTGCGGATAGTCTTCAACGAAAACGTTTTCCGTACTGCTAGCTCAACATTTGCCACATATCGCTAATATATAACGAAATTTTTTAGCCATAGATATTGGTATGAAAATTTTCGTTATTTTATATTTTTATATATTCAATTGATATCGAAGTTTATAACACCCTTAACAGACTTTTAGAAAATAAATCACACCAAAATATCCTCTTAAAGCATCATTGGGATAAAATGCGGCAAAACTAACCATATCAATGTTGAAGATAGAAAAACTTTGGTGCCAATTAATTTCCTTATATGTAGTTCGACAATCCCGCTCGAAAGTTCAGTGGCTTGAATGGATAAAGTTAGCCATGTTGCCTATACAGGGTATTTTTGAAATAGATGGAAACTTTTTTTAAGGTAATTGGTCATGATGTAGAGAATTTATGCATCAAATATTGATCTAATAAAAATCGTTTAGTTTTCGAGATAAAATTGATTGAAAATCTGTTAAAATTTGCGTGTGCGCTACTGATTCCAAAAATGTTAAAGGTAAATTTGATCACTATAGTAATTTAAAGTAGGTAAAATTGTTGCTTGTTAACATGACAATACATTCATTAGCCCATCATTTTTTGACGTTTTTGCAATTTTTTGGAAGAACAAAATTAATTTTTCTAATTCTCAAATGACTGACATGGTTCTGATGTATGGACAAGCCTTAAGAAACTCCTTGGAAGCTCGACGTTTATACCAAGAAGCATTTCCCGAACGAAGATTGCCAAATCATAAAACATTTGCTAACGTTGTTCAGCGTCTACGAGAAAATGGGAAATTTCAACCTCGTTTTAGTGATCGTGGTCGTGAAAGGACAGAACGGACACTTGATGCCGAAGAAGAAATTTTGAATGTCGTTGAAAACGATCCAGGTATAAGCATTAGACGATTGTCTTACCGAGTGGGAGTTTCACCTTTTGTGGTGTGGAGAACTCTACATGAACAAGGCAACAATCATTGATTAGACGTGCGGAAGCGTGTATACGAAATGGTGGTGGACATTTTGAAAACTTGTTCTAGTGCATACGTTACGTTTTGTTTCATTTTATGGTTGATTAAATTATGATTTTGAAGTTTTAATTGTCAGTTCATTAATTATTGTCATTGTTTATTTGTTGCTAGCAATAAATTAATAGAAACAGTAGTTACACCTCGGCAGTTTTCAGTTACTAGGTTTCACATTTTTTCGTGAAACCATTATTTATCAGTGGAGGAATGAATGTTTGGATAGGGGCTAAATGTTCCTTTCAAAATTTTACTAAAACAACAAACGTTCATTTGACTTCTTAGGTTCCCTACATTCACCAGATTTTTTGTTTCCATGTATTTCAATAACACCCTGTATAAATGTCTCGAGAAATTTGATTAATTTAATGAATTTCATCAATTATTATTAGAAATCACTTTTATATTGCATTTATGCTTAGAATTTTTTACATTTATACATTTTTTTGACATTTTAGATCGACAACTTTTCTAAAAAATTTATTGTACCTACGACCACTTGCGGTTAGTAGTTTTAAAAACTTATTTTCGCTACCATTTATTAACAGATTTTTAAATCGCAAGTTTTAACGCACGTAAAAGTAAACAAATTGGTCGAACATTGTTTCGACAGAATTTCGTTCGCTCCTGAAGAACAATGAAACATACCCAAATTTTCGGGAAAATGGTAGAGACGGCTGGTGCCCGGGGGCACAAGGGCACATACCCCCGCAAAATTACAACGTCTACAAACACACCGGACATGGTAAAATAGTAATTTTCAATAGTTAAAAAATTATCCGGAAATTTGTGTCATAATTATCAAAACTAATTTTTTTATTTCGCTCCACTTCTACAAAATGTATCAAAACTTATATCCATTTACATCTAAAGATGGGCGGACCGAATCATGGCTGATATAGATGTTTTGTTTACACCGTTGCCATGGAAACCACACGTCGTAGCCGCCTGATATACGCCTGATACAACTGGACTGTGATCCCGTTTCGACCGTGCTCGGGAGGATTGAGTTACTATCGCGGATTTTGATTTTCATTCTGTGCGAACACGTAGGATAAATATTCTTGGATAATCTTGTCGGTAATACAGACATTCGGAAACAACTACACACCGCCTATTTTAATAAGATTCGGGCACATAACGCAAGGGACGACAAAAATCGCCATATACTCGTATTAGGCCGATTGATAATGTGTAAATTTTGTGGAGTGTTTGAACTTGCTTTACGTGGACATGACGAAATCACAAAATCCAGGTATATTTCGAGGTCTGGTTGATTTTACGGCTGAATTGGACTCTGCTTTCTCAAATCATTTGAAAGAAGCAACGGTTTTTAAAAGAACACTTAAAACTGTTCAAAATGAACTTTTAGATGCCACGAACGTAAAATTTTAACCGAAGGCAAAAAGGTATGTGGAGAAATCCTTTTTTACTTTTATTGAATGTATTTTTGTATTTATTTCCTTCACACAATTATTCTATTAATTGATAATAACAACCTGTTTTATATATTCATAGTTAACTCATCAATCAAATTCTGTCCCCCCCATTTCAAAAGGTCACGAGCCGCCACCGGAAAATGGAGTGAGCTATTCTTGATTTGATCAATAAAATAAATTGATTCCTTCATTTTTTGAGCCACCTGCATATGCAAATCTAAAAACTATGCGTGCAATGATAAATTATAAGTATAGAGTGATAATCTGATAAGAT